CAGCTCCTCTGGAATTTCCCTATTGGCCTATTCCATGCCGTTTCCTCTGGAGCCTCTCAGAAGTCCAACTCCTCCTTTCCCATCTTCACTTTCAGCCAAAGACCTTTTTTCTGAGCACCTGGAAGCAATGGGAAGAGATCTTCTTGCTGGGCCACCTGGGTTTTCTGCTTCACTGCTGACTGGGAGTAGTCTGTCCCTGCACCTAGCTGTTCCCCACCCTGCGATTGTGTCCTTGTTCCCAGACCCCCTCACTGTCTCAGGATGACACTGCATCCTTCTGCCACCATGTCATTTTTTACCCCTAGGGAATTATTTTGGTCTTCATACTCAGATGGTGGTGTAGCCCAACTTTAACAAAACAAAACATAGCGTTTTTAGTCACTGCATTCTCTCATCTTTAAAGAGAAAAATCCTCTCAACTACATTGTCTCCTTTAATAAGAGCCCTTCTTCTATGCTCCATTTCAGAACAAAATACACTAGAAACTTGTTCATACTCTGTCTTCAATTCTTGCCTATGATTGTCCCTTGAACCCCATCCAGTCAAATTTTCCCATCTATCATTCCATTGATACTTGTCAGAGGCAGTACTGTCCTCCCATTTTTAAATCTACTGGTTAATTCACAGTTGGCATCTTATCTGGTCGACAACATATTGAACAGTTGATCACTCCCTCTTCCTTTAAACACTTTTTTTCTTGGCTTTTAGGACATTCTACTATTTAAAAATAAATCTTATCTATTATCTATCTGTCTTTCAACTTCCTTCTCCCGTCTCTGTTCACTTCTCAGTTTCCTCTGCTGGTTTTTCCTCAACTCCCTGGTCTCTAATTATGGGAGTACCCCATAGCTTAGTCTTGGACCTCCTCTCGTCTCTTTCTGCAGCCAGTGACTTTTTATATCATCCTGTCTCATGGCTTTAAACACCTTGACATCTCCCAATTTCACACGTCCAGTGCAGACCTCACCCTTGAACTCCAGACTCCTGTTGTCCAGCTGTATCCTTGACGTCTCTGCTGGGATGTTTCATAGGCATCTCCACCTGAAAATGTCCAGACATGACCCCCTGAACTCTCTAATTGTGTTCCCCATGCAGTCCTCCACATCTCAGTTAAGAGCAGGGTCTTACTCCCTGTGGCCTAGGTGACCATCTTGACATGTTTTCCAAATATACAGAATATTATATTATTTCTATGTGTTTTAAGTAAATTAATGAAAGAACTAGATATTAACTTAAGATGGTTGAAGGAATATGTGATTTCTAGATTTCACTTGGGATGGGGGAGAACAATGTTTGAAGACCCCGGGCCTCCCTGATCTGTTCTTCCAGGACCTCTGTGAGCTCATCTCCTGCTTGTCTCCTCCTCCCTCACTGGGATTGAGCCACAAAGATGTCTTTGCTTTTCCTGGGGCTGGGTCACCACTGCTTCAGGACTTTCCTAAGGGTGGTCCCTCTGCCTAGAACTCTGACTCCTCAAATGTACATGGTGAACTTCCTTCCCCTGGTTTTTGTTGTGCTATCCAACCCCCTTCTCAGTGGAACCTTCTCTGACACTCCCATTTAACATTCTAGCCACACCCTTACCCAAGCCCTGGCCTATAATGCCTGCTCTGCCTGTTTCTCTCTGCTCCTTCCCCTTCCACTGTCTGCATGCAGGGGCCAGGGCCCCAGGAGAGAGCAGAACCACACGGTGGGATATGTGCTGTGCTGGCCTCCTCTTGCTCCCTCTTGCCTTCACATTGCAATGTTGAGGCATATTGCAGATACATCTTGTGCCCGGTTCCCAGAGATTTCCATTCCTGTGGTCAGGGGGGATGAGGCCCGGCCTCAAGGATGTTTAAAGTACCCCAGGTGATTCTGATCTGTATCCAGCATGGAACAGCAGGGCTCTGGATCATCCATTTCTGAGGACCCAAAGCAGTCCCTAATCCAGAGATAGCTGAGGGGGCCTGTCTTCTGCATGGGGTTTGATCAGGGCTGGGCCTGTGTCTTGAAGGGGAGGGTCAGTCCAGCTCAGATCCCCACTGCTGCACCTTATGCATCAGCTTAACCAGGAGGGGAGTGACTTCTGAAGAAAGGGGTCAAAAAAGTCACATGTTGGTCTGTGTGTAGGGTTTTACTGTCCCTAAATCCCTCCCTCCTGTGGCTGTGGGCAGCAGAGGACTGTCATTTCTACATGGTGATGTCCTCCCTGTGTGTGTAAGTATGTTGACTCTGAGTGTTAATAAGTAGCATATTTCTGACACTCAGGATTGACGTCTCAAGACTCACCCTGCCTGAGGAAAGAAGCCCAGAGAAGAAAGAAGAGGAAAGAAGGAGGAGTCAGGAATGACTCTTTCTCAGGTAAAGTCATATTCTCAGTTCGTTGTCCTGTCCTCTTCATCCTGAAAGGCCATTTGGACTTGATAATCTCTCTCTCTGAAGTGTCCTGCCTGACACGTTTGCTGGCACTCCCCCCAGGACCTTCCCTCAGTCTCCTCTCATCTCCATGCAGATTGTATCTCATATTTTTACATACGTGTGTTTAATGGAGATCAAAATTAAATGTTTTTTATACATTTTTTTCAATTTTTGCAGTGTTTTTTTTGTAAGTAGGCTAATATAGAATAATGTTGACAATCTTACTTAAATTTAGTACAATTTATACATATTCATTGGATCAAAAATGCTAAAAAGATGATAGATAATACAGATTTACCCAGAATTTTTCATTTAGAGGGTATTAGTTTTATTTCAGTTAATTTCAGTCTGTATGTTTGTGCACACGTGTGTATGTGAGCAGGAGCCCATGATGTGTATAAAAGACGTCACTTCAAAAATAAATTTTTTGGGGGCCGGCCCTGTGGCTTAGCAGTTAAGTGTGTGCGCTCCGCTACTGGCAGCCCGGGTTCGGATCCCGGGTGTGCACCGACACACCGCTTCTCCGGCCATGCTGAGGCCGCGTCCCACATACAGCAACTAGAAGGATGTGCAACTATGACATACAACTATCTACTGGGGCTTTGGGGAAAAAAGGGGACGAGGATTGGCAATAGATGTTAGCTCAGAGCAGGTATTCCTCAGCAAAAAGAGGAGGATTAGCATGGATGTTAGCTCAGGGCTGATCTTCCTCACAAAAAAAATAAATAAATAAATAAATTTTTTAAAAACAATCTTTGCAAGTATGTCTTATGTTTTCCATTAGACTTAAGTTTTTTTCCTGCACTACCATGTTAATGAGTTAAATAGCAGTAAGAATAGTAACTCATTGTGTATAAGCATGTGTGTATATATTGACCTCTTTTCTAGGTGTATGTTTTTAGCCTTGAACTTTTTTCAGATTGTCTCAGGAAACGCTCTGTGGATGCATCTTTAATGTTGTATGTGTTACTTACTGGTGTGATGGTGTAGGTTCCAGTCTAAAGTGCTGCCACCTGGTTCAGGCGCTGGCTCTGCCATTCATTATTTGGCCTGTGATGAGTCTTAGAGTGTCTGTGACAGAGTTGTGTTCTCTGTAAGGTGGGCACAAATCTTTCTCTAATTAGATGCTATGTTGTTATATACGTTACTACTTAAAAAACGTTTAGAGTAATGCTTATCATGTGAGAAGTGTTCAAAAGTTTTAGTTATTATCATCATCATTCTAGCTTTTCAGTTCTCACCTTTCATTGAAGCTGCTGTGGACTTTGTCATCCTGGAAGACAATTACGCATGCTGTAGCTCATCTGGAAATTAGTTAGCAGTTGGTATATAGAACGTAATATCTAGAACTTGTATTTAGATGACGCTTTGTTGAATTTTTTTCATTTGTATACTTCTTTTTTTATTTTTCCCTTCCTTTCAAATGAGAACTTTATTTAAGTCTCTTGGTTCAGGTACATAATGGAGATGATACAAATGTCTTACCCCTTTTCTCCCTGGGCCCACTATTGTCCCTTAGGACCCCATTTAGTAATTTGGTGACTAGAAAATCATTCTAGTGAGTGGTGGTATTCCTAACTCCAATGCTGGTGCTTGTGTATTTGTTCTTCTGTATTACATGAATATATCAGTGGAAGGTAAGCCACCAGGGCTCAGGCATCATTAATTTCTCTTTGTCCAAATCTAGAAGGTCATATTTTCTTCTGCACCATGATTTCTTTGTGATGTTATAGGATAATTCATGAAATTCTCTTCTTGTATTCACCTGAGAGTGAAAAACACATTCCTAAAATATTCTTTGGTTCCCAGTATATCGGTTACAAAAATATGTTCATCTTCTGAATATCAGTTTCCTTTTCCCTTATTTTTAGGTTTTTTTTTTTTGGGTTTTGTCTTTTTGTTTACTCAGATATTGCATTGAAATTCCAGACTCTGCATTCTTCCCGTGACTACTTTTCTACCCCAGATGGAGAGCTTCAGTTAACATGATTGTTGGATAAGAAGGTATCATCATAGTACACCAGAGAAATCCATATGTCTGGAATCTGGAGGAGTACTTAGGTTCCTACCAAAGACTCATTTTTTCACCTGGGGCAAATTGCATAACTTCTTTTTTTTAAATTATTATTTTTTATTGAGGTATAATAGACATACAACATTATATTAAGTTCAGGTGTACAACGCAGTGATTCAATGTTTGTATATATTGCAAAATGATCACCGCAATAAGTCTAGTTAACATCTGTCACCATACATAGTTAGAAAATTTTTTTTCTTGTGATGAGAACTTTTAAGATCTGCTCTTTTAGAAACTTTCAGATATGCAGTACAGTGTATATATGTCTTTTATCTTGCACAAAATTTTAGAATCCAGTGATTTTAAATCCAGTAAAATTCAGTGGTTTAATGGATTTCATATCTTCTGACGGAAAAGTGTAATAAAGCAAAATTAAGGATATATGACTTGCTCAGACTTCTTGGTGGCTCTGTCAGAACACTCATTTCTATCTAACTGATTCTTGTACCTTTCTCCTCCTCTCATTTTTGTGAAGATAAGAACTCTCCTGATGTCCTGTTGGTGAAATGTGTTTTCATTTCAGGAACTGTTGACGTTCAGGGACGTTGCCATAGAATTCTCTCAGGAGGAGTGGGAATGCCTGGACCCTGCTCAGAGGGCCTTGTACAGGGATGTGATGTTGGAGAACTACAGGAACCTGCTCTCCCTGGGTGAGGATTTTTTCCCTCCAGAAGTTGGAATCTGCCATTGTGTATCTTTGCATTTTTCTCTTGAGTCTCTTGGGAACCCCTGCCTTGCTTGACTGAGATGGAATCCCTGTTGATTCAGAAATGAAAAGCTGTACAATGCAATTTCTGGATTTTAAGCTTCCACTTTCTTTAGGTCATCTGCCTACTTCATGTTAGGTTAGTGGTAGTTATACAAGTTGAGTAAGTACAAAACCTTATAGCAAAACTTGAAAACATCTGATTGCCTGGTTTTACTCTCATACTTTTGATTTAGTAGTTCTTGGAAAAGAGCTGCATATCTTTATATTTAAAATATTCTTTAAGCATTTGGAAGAAGACAGTCACTGAACAAATTTGTGAAATGCTATTCTGGACCCATCTGTAATGTCCTTGCTTCTCAGCTGAACAAAGGGCTGGGATTATATTATGGAAAAACCGCAGCACATGGTCTGCCTCTTTCCATGTAAGCAGGGATCTCTCTTTCTGAGCTTCATATTATCTCCATTTTGGAGGAGGAGGAGCCCTGGACTATGAAGAGTGAGGTGAAAATAGCAAAAAAAACAAAAAACAAAAAAACCCGGTTACTGGGAGTGTATCAAAGATATGAACAAAATAGCTTAGATGGCAGAGAGGAAGTGACTTTATCAAATATTGTTTGGGAAATTGTTCTCAAATGTGAGAGGTCTGTTGGAAAATAAAAGTTTATTTCTTGTGAGCTCTCAAAGGAAATTGTTCTTCCCCTCCTCTTACCACTCTCTCCTTCCCATGTGTAAAAGTTTCTTCCCATCGTCCAGTGGTACTCCAGCTCATTGCAAAGACGACGGCAAAGTCTTCATCATAACATTCTGTTATCTACCCACTATGACCTCTTTCCTATCTCGACTTTGGGGAGCACAGAGAGGGCTCTTTATAAGGTGCCTTCTTCCTTCTTGGGCCTCTCCTGAACTCAGTTCTCAGTTGACACAGGTCAGAGCTGAGGCCTCCCTAGTCCTGGCTTGTGGCCTTCTCAGCTTCCATCCTCATTTCACATACTTGAGAGACCCTCTTTGGGAATGGGAAACATTAGCTGCTGTTCCATTGCATCTGGGTCCCAGAGGCTCTCTCAGGAGCCAAAGCCATTTCTTCATTTCTGCTTATGCCCTTCAGGAGCATGTGTGATGGGAATAGCGTGGCTCTTTTGAGATTGTTACTCAGCAGTACTGTAGAGACAGTGGGCAGAGAGAACCTTTCTCTGATGGGGGACCTTCTTGGGGACCATATCTTAGGCTTTCAGGAACTCATCTTGGAGTCTGTAGGCAGCTGCAGGTCCTGTTTCAATATCCCATCTGACCCCTTTGATTGACTTTCCTACCTTTTCTTTTTCTCAAAATCTGACCCCCTTGATTGACTTTCCTACCTTTTCTTTTTCTCCCTCTTGCAGCTCCTACTTAGTCTGGGAATGTGGAAGAACTTGGCTCTGGCTGATTTCATATTTTCCTAAGTTTGTGTGATTTTTTCTCTCTGAAACTTGCTTGGTTTTGAAATATACCCACCTAGTGTCCAAATTTTTTTGGCAGTTCTTTTTGGAAGTGAGTGGCCAGGTGGTTCTTCCTAGTCTGTCTCAGTCAGGAAACTCCTCTGAAACCTGTCCCCCATGGGTGACCCTGCTGGTATTTGAAATACTGGTGCCATAGCTTTCAGCATCACAGCAACATGCAGCCGCCACAGTATGCCAGCTGACAGATGGTGGTGTAGTTGAATTGGCCAAAATTTGTTACATAGGATACTTTGGTTTTTCTATAGTATATTTTAAGTTTTCTAAACATAGCTCATGTTTTATATAAATTTCATAAATATTTTATATTTTGGTTTAAATTCTTTATTGTAATAAATCATCTCTTTGTCTAGATTCATGATGTAACTCTTGGTATACTAAACTAATATTTAAATATCTAATTTTATTTTATAGGACACATAGCTAGTTTCTTGTGTTGCATGTACTTTTTCATCACTGTTACTTATGATACTGTTTTCCACAAAATTTCTAAATTTCTGGAAATTGTAGTTTTCAATTAACCCGTGAACACTGTTTTGTTCCTCATCTTCCATTTAACCTGAATTTTACCTAAAGTTCACCTGTCTTTGTTGACTCTTAGCCCAGTTGTCTCCTGTTGTTCTGTGGCTAGTCTTGGCTTCTTATGTTGCTGATCACCTCTGGACAGCCACCTCGCCCATGGATCTTCTGGAACTGCCAAAAGGTGTTTCAACACATAACTGCTGCTGCTAATACTGCCTTCTTTAGAAGTCATTCCTTACTCTTGATCATATGCCTGTTAAGGCTATTAATGTTCTCCTGATGATCTTTATGAAGACAGAGTTTATTAATTTGGGACAAGTGCACATTAATTTTTGTTTATTCATGATAACTGTGTGTATACGAATGCATATAGTAAGAGCACCCTTCACTTCACGTGTGTTTCATGTGAGGATTATATTAAGAGATCCAATGATAGAATTTCAGATAATTAGAGGAGGCTAGTGTAAGAGACCCTGTTATTCTTATATAATATAAAGAAACTTAGCCTCAAAATTTTAACATGTCAAAATTGGTAAATATCTATTTTTAAAATATATTGTGAAATTCATCTCTTAGATTGCTAGTGTTATTAAACATTTTTATTCATGTGGAATTCACATAACATAAAATTAACCATTTCAAAGTGAGCCACTCAAGGCATTTAGTATATGTACCAGTTGTGCAACCACCTCTGTCTAGTTCCACAACATTTCCATCACTCCATGTTAGCATCCATTACCCGTTAAGCAGTTTGTCCACGTTGTTTTCTCTCCTCAGTCCCTGGAAACTTCCAGTCTGCATTCTCTCTCCATGGATTTATCTATTTTGTAACATTTCATAATTTTTTTCAATATTATCTTAACTATTTGGGGCCCTTTGCAGTTCCTTATAAATTTCATCACCTTTTGCATTTCTCCATGAAAGTGTCTTGGAATTTTGATAGTGTCTACATAGAATCTGTAGACCACTTTGGTGACTATTACCATCTTAAAAATGTAAAATCTTCTAATTCATAAATATGGAATTACTTTCCATTTATTTAGGTCTTCTTTAATTACTATCAGCAATGTTTTGTAGTTTTCAATCTCATGTCTTGCACCTCCTTGTTTAAATTTATTTTTGGGTATTGTATTCTTTGGATATTATCATAGAGGGAATTAGTTTTTCAATTTCCTTTTGAGATTGTTCATTATTGGTGTATAGAAACACAACTGATTTTTGTATGTTGATACTCTATCCTACAACTTTACTGACATCATTTATAACACTAGTAGTTGTGTGTATGTATGTTTTTTATGGAATTTTCTATATGTAGGATTATGTCATCTGCACATAGAGATAAGTTTTCTTTTTCTTCTCAAATTTGTATGCTTTCTATTTCTTTTTCTTGCCTAATTGCTCTGAGTAAAACTTCCAGTACAGTGTTGGGTAGCAGCAGTGACAGTGGGCATCCATGTCTTATTCCTTATCTTAGGGAGAAAGCTTTTTATTCTTTCTCCATTGACTATATTAGCTGTGGGTTTTCTATAAATGATCTTTATCAGGTTGAGGAAGTTCACTTCTCTTTTTAGTATGCTGAGCATTTTTGTCATGAAAGGTTCTGGATTTTTTCAAATACATATTTTGCATACAATGAGATAATTATGTAGTGTTGATAGTGTTTTTTTTTTTCTTCTTACTATTAATGTTGGTTATTACATTGAACCATCCACCTTTGGATTTTTGGAATAAGTCCCAGATGCTGGTTTATGGTATATAATCTTAATATGCTGTGTATTCAATTGGCTGATATTTTGCTGAGGATTTTTGCTTTTCTATACATAAGGGATATTGATCTGTAGTTTCTTATGATGTCTGTCTGGCTTTGGTATCAGAATTATGCTGGGCGCATAAAATGAATTAAAAAATGTTCCCTCTCTTATTTCTTATAGAGCAGGTCTGGTTGTAAGGAACTCCCTCACCTTTTGTTTATCTTGGAAGTCTTGATTTCTCCCTCATTTGTAACTGACAGTTTTGCTGGGGATAGAATTGGTTGAGTGTTTTTTTCTCTGTCAACAATTTAAGTATGTCAGCCCATTTTCTCTGGACTCCATGGTTTTGGCTGAGAAATCAGCTGTTAATCTTATTGTGGATCCTTTGTATATGATGAATACTTTCTCTCTTGCTGCTTTCAAGATTCTCTTTTTGCCTTTTTCTTTCAACAGTTTGTGATTTTTTGTGATGTGGATCCCTTCGAATTCATTTTCTTTTCTGTTCATTGACTTCTTAGATTTGTAGATCCATGTCTTTATTCACATTTAAGAAATTTTTGACTGTGTTTCTTCTAATATTCTTTCTGCCTCCTTCTCTTTTTTTCCCCCCACTTTGGGACTCAACATTGTTCATATGTTGGTCTACTTGATGGTATCCTACGGGTCTCTTGGGCTACATTCATTTATCGTCAATCCTTTGTCTTTCTACTGCTCAGACTTGGTAATTTCAAGTGATCTGCTCTCAAGTTTGCTGATTCTTTCTTCTGTCTGACCAAATCTGATGTTGAACCTCTCTAGGAAATTTTTCATTCAGTTAGTTTACCATTCAGCTCCAGGATTTCTGTTTAGTTTGTTTTCTTAACCTCTATCTCCCTCTATTTGTTTAAACAGATATTCTCCTGATTTCCTTTAATTCTACGTCCATCATTCCCTTTAGGTTAAATAATTGATTAAAGTTTTTCTTTAGTATGTCCAAAGTTTGGGCTTCCCTAGGGACAATTTCTGTTATTTATTTATTTTTTGTATGTGTCATACTTTATTGTTATTTTGCCTGCTTTTAGCTTTTTGTTAAAAACAAGACGTTTTGAATATATTGAAACTTTGGAAATCATAATTTTCTCTCTCCCCAGGGTATGTTGTTGCTTCTTTGATTGCTGTTGTGTGTTTGTGTATTTCTAATTTTGTGTGGTGTGTTTTCTTTGCTGTGTGTGGCCACTGAAGTTTTTGGTTAGCTTGTTGGTCAGGTAGTGATTTGACAGATTTCCTTAATCACTTGGAATCACAAACAAAACAAAACAAAATCACCTTAGACTTTTTATACATGAGCTCTGTGTGTGTTTCTCTGTGGGATATATGTTAGGGTATGCCTTTAAATACTCAGGCAGGGAGTTTACAACTCTGCCTTAGCCTTTGCTTCCTGCATGTGCAAGTCTGATGGTAAATAGGTGGTCAAAGCTTAGGGGCTTCTCAGGTCTTTTCTCATGTGCCCTGTCCTGGGCATGCTTGGAACCATCTAGATTTCCTTGATTATAGAGGAGATTTTGAAAGTCCTTATTCCACAATACAACTCACTTTCCAATATTTTCTTAGCATTTTTAGTTTGTCCATTGTTTGCCCCAGTTGTTATCTCTTGCCCTAGGTAGCAGTGGCTAATATATTTAGCTTTAAATGTCTTTGACAAATGGCCCCCTTTTAGCACCTCTACCTAGGTACAGTTCTGAGGTAGGCCAAATAAAGGCAACCACTTTGAGCCAGTCCTTCGGGGGCCCAGCAGGCAGATCAAGAAAAACAGCCACAATCGTTATAAAGTCCCTTCTGTCCCCTCTGGTTCTGGAACACTGTACAAGCTTGAGAGCTGACATCTTCAAGGCCACTGCCTAGCAGAGGAATGGGATGGGGTCAGAGTAAATTAAAACAGCTCTCTTTTTCTTGGTTAGGAATGTGCTTGGTTTCTGGAATCTCGCCTGCTTTTGTAGAAGGAGGTACATTTGGAGTTCTCTGCTCTGCCATTTTTGATGTCACATTTCCTCACTGTTAATCTCTATAATATCATATATTTACCTGAACCTCTTATTTCAAAATCAGTGGTTTTTAACGTATTTTCCAGTTCTCATATTATATGCTCTTTCTGAATTATAGGTTCTTTATTTTGTTCTTATGAATGAATTTCTTAGAATTCCACAAACTATATATGTATATGTAAATGTAAGTAATTATTATTTACTACTGCGTTTGTATTAGGTTATTAAAATGTTTATTACTTTTTATTATGATTAACAGATAATTACTTTTTAGCATATATTATGTAATATAAGCACAGTATACTAATTGTTAATGTTGCAGTATGCCTCTTATGCATGGATTTAATTTTATATCAGGTATTTACAAGAATATTTTCTTGTTCTAAAAGTGGTTTTTTAATGTTGTGTACAGTAAGTATTCAGTAATTAGCTTTAATATCTTATTTTTTTTTTTTAATGTGAGACGCCTGTATTCCTCCTCTGAGTTGGTGTGGAAAAATTGCCCTTCTTTCAGGACTATAGTAACTTTTGATCAGAGAGCATTTGAAAGTAGGCTTCCCTAAAAGGAATTTGAATTACATGTAATCACTCTTTCTTTATTGTGGAATCTTATATCCTTTGTGTTTTTAAACATTTGCAGACCTTGGTTGAGAAGCTTGACAACCCTGTTAATTATGAGTTTTACTTTTGGTGTAATATTATATTTTTTAATATAAAATATCCATCTTAACAACTCTAGTTAATAGGAAGCCTTTGATAATTTCTGTGTTACAGATATCTCTCCTGGATATGTGATCAAAGAATTATCATCAAAGGAGGACATTAATAATGGAGAATTATTCCAAACATTTATTTTGGAAAGACATGTAAGTCATGATTTTGATGATTTTGATTTCAGAGAGGTCCAGCAAAATATGCACAAGTTTGAGACTCAGTGGGTATGTGAAGAAAAAAATTTTGAAGGGGTGAGTACAACCCATTACAAAAATTTCGCTGGTAGAAGAGATCAACAACATCATAAATCCTGTAATAATTTCCCTGTGACACAGAATGTTTCTGTAAGAAGAAGTACGTCTCATTATTATAAACATGACAAGTCATATATAAGGAATAAGGAACTAAAAAAAGACATAAGCTATTCAGGAAAAAAGTATATGAAATCTTTTAAAAATAGGCTTGGATTAAGCTTTCATTCACATCTGGTTGAAGTGCACAGATTTCAAACTGAAGAGAAACGTTATGAATGTCATCAAGTTGAGAAGTCTATCAAAAATTGTTCTTCAGTTTCACTGCTTCAAAGAATTCCTCCTAGTGTCAAAACCAACATTCGTAATAAATATGGGAAGGTTTTTATGCATCCTTCATTGCTTACACAACACCAGAAAACACACATTAGAGAAAAACCTTACAAATGTAATGAGTGTGGGAAGGCTTTTAGCCATTGCTCAACCTTAGCTAATCATCAAAGAATTCATTCTGATGAGAGACCTTACAAATGTATTGATTGTGGCAGAGCTTTTAACAGGTTCTCAAACCTCACAAGGCATCAGAGAATTCATACTGGAGAGAAACCGTATAAATGTAATGTATGTGGTAAGGATTTTATGATACGTTCGCACCTTTGGAGTCATGAGCGAATTCATACTGGAGAGAAACCTTACAAATGTAATGAGTGTGGCAAAGCCTTTTCTGAGCGTTCAAATCTTGCTCAACATAAGAGAATCCATACGGGAGAGAAACCTTACAAATGTAATGAATGTGGTAAGAATTTTACCACACGTTCACACCTTTGGGGTCATGAGAGGATTCATACTGGAGAGAAACCTTACAAATGTAATGAGTGTGGCAAAGCCTTCACTGGGAGTTCAAATCTTACTCAACATAAGAAAATTCATACTGGAGAGAAACCATATAAATGTACTGTATGTGGCAAGGCCTTTAGTCAGAATTCAAGCCTTATAGTTCATCAGAGAATTCATACTGGGGAGAAACCTTACAAATGTCATGAATGTGGCAAAGCCTTTAAACAGTACTCGAGCCTCAGTAGGCACCAGAATATACATGGAGTGAAGATACAGATGTAAAGTGTGTGGTGAAGCTTTTGTTAAATTTTCACACCTTTGGAGTCATGAGGGAACTCACACTGGAAGGAAACCTTACAAAAGAATGGAGGAAAGCCTTGATGCCAGCGTGGCCTTGCCTCAGGATTCACCAAAGATTTCATACTGGAGAAAATTCTTAGAAATATAATGAGTGTGGTAAATTGTTTAAGCAGTTTTCACAATGTTCTATGCATCAGACGATTCCTACTAGGGAGAACTAAATCTGGTCCTTTTTGAAGATTAATCAAATCACATGGTACATTCTGCTGAGTCATTGAAAGCCAAAATCATTTAAAATTCATGAGATGACGGGTGTAGAAGGACCAAGGACCTTGGTGGAAAATCCCACTTACCTTCAGTTTATATGATATTTTTATTCTTTTAGATTTCTTGGTAAGGCTGCATTATTATTGACATTCAACCTGAGGTTCAAAATCTGTTATTGATGTTATATGTCTTCATCACTGATTTTCGTGTGTTGCCGGTATCTGTGAAGAAACGGTCTTTTTGGTCCTAATGTAAATGGCATATTTTTAATTTTCTTTTCCACTTGTTCATTGCTGGAAAAGAGGAAGGCAGTTAACTTTAGTAAATTAACCTTGTATCCTGAAGTCTTGCTTTGAGTGCATATGAATGTTTTATCTACCACACTTAAGGGCATCATATGAGATTTTTCAGTAATTCTGGGAATAGGCGTCACTCTGTTTTGTTCCTGGCATAAAAACAAATGAGTCTCTCTGTTTCTATACTAATATTGAGCCAATCTTGGCAGTCCTTAAGTCCATCTTGGTCATGGGGCAGGGTCTTGTGTACTATGTTACAATCAGAGCATCTGCATTTTTTTAAGATCTCAAATGCTCTATGCATATTTGGTATTGGCATGTAGAATAAATCTTTACACATAAATGGAAACTTGTCACAGCCAAAATTATAAAATAACATACTACTAATCTAAACTATGATGACAAGTTATGAAAACAACTAAATATAGATCTAGATTATTGGAAGAACGTACTAGCTAGCTTTTTCAGTATATTGTGATGGTTAAATACTGTACTTTCTTACCATCTCCACTAAGTTTAAGTCCCCAATCTGCTGGTAACCAAGATGTGAATTTAGTAAAATCACTTCACTCTCTCTGCATAAGTTCTCCTCCTCTTTAGAATAAAGATAGTAATAGTTTCCACCTCCAAGATTTGTGAAGAATAGAGATGTTACCAGCCTTCATATCAGTGATTCTTATGTTGTAAGTGTTCTTTAAAAGTTATGCATTCAACTCTTGGAAGGCCCTTAAGGAAAGTAAGATTTAAGTAAATATTTCTCAGTGGGAACTAATGGTAAGTGGAGAATATTGGATTTCAGTTGAAATGGTAAATGTAGCCCATGCTTCAGGTTCCCATGCAGTCTTCTCCAGAAGAAAAATGTCAGTCATTGGAAACTATCAGATGGCCTCCAGGTTTTTGGCAATCAGATTGAATTGATTAGAATTCTGGGAAATTTCTCTCTTCTTTACCATTATATCTTCTTATCCTTCACTAGGTGAAGGTTACGGTCCACAGATTTGATTGTCAAGCACCGGCTTATAGCCAATTAGTCATCATCTGAGGCCGGCCCCGTGGCTTAGCGGTTAAGTGCGCGTGCTCCGCTACTGGCGGCCTGGGTTCGGATCCCAGGCATGCACCGACGCACCGCTTCTCGGGCCATGCTGCGGCCGCGTCCCACATACAACAACTAGAAGGATGTGCAACTATGACATACAATTATCTACTGGGGCTTTGCGGGGGAAAAAAAAGGAGGAGGATTGGCAATAGATGTTAGCTCGGAGCCGGTCTTCCTCAGCAAAAAGAGGAGGATTAGCACAGATGTTAGCTCAGGGCTGATCTTCCTCACAAAAAAAAAAAAAATTAGTCATCATCTATCTAGGAATCTCCAGCACAGTGACAGCTTTTGGGTAGAAACATTTTTCTCAATGATTTTGGATGCAAATTTGTTAGCTGTGTTTACAGAGTAGTACTGTACTATATTTATGTAAGATGTCACTATTGGAGAAAACTTGTGACGGTTACAAGGGACTCTTCTACACTCTCTTAGCACCTTCCTGTGCATTTATAATTATTTCAAAATAAAAAGTTTAAAAAAAGGCAACAAGGTGTGCTGTGGGTTTTACAAAATTCAAATCCAGCTCTTTGTTCAAATGAGAATAAAAGATATTATAAATGAATCTAAAAATAATTCTTAAAACTGTCCACTCATTGCCTCCTTCTAAATGTTTAAAAGGTATGTAAATATAGATATGCCTGCATGCTACATAATATGGATCTACGCTATTTCCAAGGCATCCTGAATCAGACCACAGGGGTAGAACCAGAAAATTGGATGTTTAAAGTGTTTGCTATACTATGGATTGGTGGATATTTACTTCTGGAACATCCACCAATCCTTCATGAAGGGACCAGGTTATCTGAAGAAAGGGAAAGACTGACGTCCAGAAGGACCATTGAGATTCTTTTAATTTCTGAATCAACAAAGCTCCAATCTTCCCCTTAAGAACAGGGATCAGAACCTCAGTCATTCGAGGCAGGGCCTGTGAAGAGACTCACGGTGGAAAAAGCAATGATACACAAGGACAGATCCTGCCTTATGGAGGGAAGTTATCCTCACGCAAAAAGACCAGTTTTTTGTTATTCTCTAATATATCGTGTCTCTGCACATAGGCTCTGTGATCAGGGTCCAGGCATTCACAGTGCTTCTAAGAGAATTTTCTGGACATATTGGTGAATGTCACAGTCCCTGAAATGAAATACACAGACGTTTGTAGAAGCAGCAATGGGGAACTTCTATTTTAACACAATAGGAGACAAGAGGAGGGGTATGAGGATTGGTTCTGGTGTAGTATGAGGATTATTAGTTGGGCTTGGTGGTAGAACTTCTGGGTCCTGACTTTGGACAAGTTGTATAACCTTTGTGAGTCTCAGATTGCTCCTTTGAGATGGCACCTGCCCTGAAAATCTCAGTTGGCTATTGTGAGGCTCACAGGGGACCTTCCTGTGAAATCATAGTAAATAGAAGCACTGTACATGTGTGAGCCTTCTTGTTATAGTTGTAGACCATGTAACTTTGCATCCTAATTCAGGAGATTCTCAGTCTAATTGTGTATACTCTCCAAAAGCCATTCTGGGCCTCTGGTATCATCCCCATACTCCTACCTTCACCCCCTGTAACCTGGCCTCCTATTTTCCCGACTTGGAGGGTTCGCCTGAAAAAGAAAAAAAAAAGGTGGGGTAACATGACTCCTGCTATCTCTGAGGCAAAGCTGATTAATGTTGCTCCCTTCTTTCCTATATCCTTTTCCTAATATGGCTGGTGCAATCCCAGGACTGCAGTATAGCATGGGATTGACATGGTGGAGAGAATTTATAGGGAATGAAACGTGAAGGAAAGCTTTAGGGTGCAGGATAAAAAGACTAGTAAAGTTGGTGATAAACAGGTGAAGGACTCCCCAAAATGAGACAAACGATCAGCTTTAAAAGGACCCATGAGTAGAGCATTCAGTCATAGTCTTAAACAGGCTTGATCAGCAGCATGATTACAGTCAGTTACTTCAGTGAACATGCGCTTACCATGGCATGCTTCTAAATGAGTGACCCAGACAGTTATATCACAGGTAAGTTTGTTTCTGCAATTTACGGACCCAAAGATAGTTGCCTTTAATCTGCCAGTCTAGTTTTCCAAGTGTCAGGGCAGACAGCTTTCTCAGAGCCAATACCACAAGATCCTGTGTTCTAACACTGAGGAAAGCAACCACATCTGCTTTCATTTCTTCATGTTCTGCATTGAGGCTAAACATCCACCCAGCCCAGTGGATGCTGTCAGGTTTCAGTTTTGCCGAACCATCACTGAACCAAGGCCAGGCATCTAGGCGAGTCTTGGATAATTGAGGGCATCATATTGCAAAGGGCTTCACTTCAGGTCCCAGGTACAACTTATTCTTGTAAAGCTGAGATATTGCAGTCCAAGTTGACGCATATCAAAATGGGAATATCAGACCAGACTGTCACAAGGCGTCTGTGGGTCAGTCTTCAGTTTTGACAAAAGTTCAGTAGCAAGCTAACTGCTGCTTTTCAAAAGCAGTTTACCTGTTGTGTCAAACCTGAGTCCACACCCCAAGGGGGTCTTCTAGGTGGAGGTGCCTTGCTTTGCCAGAGACTCCAAATGGCAGAGTCAAGCACAGAGACTCATTTGTCTCCAGTGCTCTAGAAGTCTTTTAAGGGGCTGGGCCTCAATTTGGATGTGAGGGGTGAATGAGACAATAGTTAATATTTTTCTTTTCCACTGGAATGATTGAGCATTGTAATCTGCCCACACAATCCAATAAACTTTAATTGGAAGAGAAGACTGAATTTGTCATGTTTTATCAGCCTTCACTACCAACAGAGGGAACCTTCTAGACAGGGCTCTTGAGACTCAATGATCTCCAACTGTTGGAGATTTTCTAACTCTCCAACAAAGAGAACATCATCTATATAGTAAAAACTTGGACATCAGAGGGTAGAGGCTAATGGGCTATATCCTCACCCACCCACTGATGGCAAATGCCAGGGGAGTTTGTTTCATAAACACTGCTCTACCTTCATTTCACCCTGAAGAATGGATATATATGGAATCTCATGCAAATGGTAATGGTTGGGAAAATTGGTACATTTTGAAAAGTCTTTGGTAGTATTTACTAAAGCTGAGTAGAATTAAGCCTATGACCCCCCATGAAATCCACTACTACATATATAACAACAGAAATTTGTACATGTCACCAAAACACCAGTTCTAGAATTTACGTAGCAGTACTATTATTGATAATAGCCCCTAACTGGAAACAACCCACATATGCATCAAGAGTAGGATGATTAAATTAATTATCAGATATTCACATAATGGAATCCTGTT